TATCGTAATAAAATGGATTGGCACGATATATATATATATATATATATATATATATATATTTTTGGCATTGCTCGTGAAATATTTGTTTCATCTTTATTATTTTCAAAGTAGAGATATTACATCGCTAAATGTGATATAACGCGCGCGTACGATTTATAATACGATTTCATTTTTTGCAATTGTTATATTTAACGATAAGATATACAACGATATACAGATTTTACGATATTCGCGACTTATTTGTAAGAACGAGAAATGATAAAATCGAAAAAAGGTATATCCATTTTTTTAGAATGATTATAATACTTATCTTTTAACTATTATTTTTAAGCGCGGTAGTATAAAAATTTCTCTTCGATGGTTGTTGACTTTTATTTTTCAAATTTTTATCCCCTCCTCAAATATCTTTATATTATAGCAACACGAATTGTATTTATATAGAAGAAAAATCAACCAGATGTACTATTGTATATTTTAAATACGTATATATTCTTTGTTCTTTCTTCATCCTTTTAACCCGACATTGGTATACATCTATGTCATCTTGATAATAATACGTGATGCATTGCAAAATTGAAATGTTCCGAAATGATTTATTCGTATCTTTCTATTTCGTGCATAAAACATTACATAATTTTTCCTTTAAAATTTAAATTTGAAATTTATTTTAAAAATCTTAAAATTTATTTCTTTTTTTCTCTTTCGTACGAAATTGAAAGATTTGCGAACGTAACCAACATTCCGAATATACAATACGAGTAAATGTACCTGCACGAAAGTCGAATAAATCGAGAATGTTATAGATAATTACATACGAGTTTATTACGAATTATATATATATATCGATATTGCATGTGAGTTTAAAAAAAAATGATATATCAAAATAAAAAAATAATAAGAGCAAAAAGGGAAAAGGACGAAGAGAAAAAGAAAGATAAATATTTCATAATCGATTATTCGACTGTATATTATTTATCCATTTTTATTATTATTATTATTATTATTATTATTATTATTATTATTATTATTATTATTATTTTCAATTTAAATATTTCGTTCGAATAATTTCGTTAATCAATTGTAATGAAATCGCTTTGGAAATTGAGATAATTTATAGATTGTTGGTTATGTTGAAAAATAAATAAATGAAAACAGTACGCTTATTCTTAACAATGGTGTGACACGACTGAATAAAAAATAATTCGGTTCGATAATAAAAAAAAAATAAACGATCTTCGTCATTATCCATTGTTCTAATCGTAAATAAATAATAATTATAAAAAAAAATTTTTAAAAATCGAAAAGATATAGATATATCTATTTTTTACTACGTCACATAAATAGTTTGAAAAATCTGTTTTCGGTGATGATGCCGTTAAAACTATGAATTATGATGTAAAGCTTAAACGAAACATTTAAAACAAAAGGCTTGGCAGGGAATGCTATAATAATTGTTTTGTCGTTTCAATTGATGATATTTTATTGACAATTCATGCTAAACTATACAATTTTTTTAATGTTACAATTATTTTTTAAACATTTTTGATTTTATTTCCTTGTTTTTATTCTCGTTATATTATGATTTTCTGTTTAATTTTTTTCCTCCATATATATATACACATATATATATGTGTGTATGTATTAAATCGTTATTCTAGTTAAAAAATATAAAAATCATCTTCTAGTGACATTATGTGGTAATATATTTATATAATAAAAGATTTTCAACATTTTCATAAAAAGTGCGTGTCATTTCATTGATGACCAACAACCAATTCCGAAAAATTAATATGTTTGGTATAAAAAGTCTATTTCTTTTTATATATATATATACATATATATATTAATAAACTATAATATATATATATATCGATTGTTTTTCAAACAGTTGAATAAAACTGTTACATACTTATGTATGCATTAAATTAAAAGAAAAGATATTTTTTATATTTGCATTTTGTATTTATTATATCTACATATATATATCGTTAAAAGTTTGCATAAGATAGGTCAATTTTTTTAATTAATGCATATTATTTTTTAAACGAATTATAAATTATGAATTGATTTAAAATGATTTTGTATAAAAAAATTTGTATATATGCAATTACGTTGTAGTTAAAAGATAGAAAAACTATTAAATTTATGTTTATAATTTTATGTTTTCGTATTTTAAAATTTATTAATTTTGAACTTATTATTTATAAACAATATTGGTTATAATTTAAAAATGAATTTAATAATGAATAATTTCTGATAATAATATAATATAATATTTATATATAATATAATATTTACGCAAATATAAATATATATGCATATCTATTTATATTTCACTTTTTAATTTTTATTTCAACAAATTTATTTCATCTTATTCTATGCTAATTCTATAAACATAGATTTTAATTAGATTAATCTAGAAAAAAAAATATTAATGAAAAAAATGTATGTATATTATAATGATTACAAAAACTTTAATTATATATCGATAGGTAAGGAATAAAAAAAATAAATACAGTTATTTGAAATTATTAAATATCTAATAAAAATATATATATTTTTTATATAAAAATATCTAAATAAAGAAATAAAGAACAATGATTTTTTATTGAACTAACTTTTTTTATCAAATTGATTATTTATTAAATTGATTAAATGAAAGTTTTATTTCATATCTATTTCATACAGTATATATATATATATATATATATATATGCATATGTATGGTTTTAAATATTTAGCATACGATAATTTTATTGATTATTACTGATTTCGATATTTTGTGGATTTCGCGTATACACGAAAATAAGCACGATGAAAGGAAAAAAATTAATAGTCGGTTATAGTTAAGGTGTACGATCGACCGCATTATCGAAAAATAAATAATGCTGCGCACGCTCCTTAAAGGGAAGTTGATTTTCATAGTACCTGGCGGCTAACGCAAGTCATAACAGAACACTCTGAACGGGGGTTGTTCAGTGTCGTCTTGACAGTAGTTGAGATTGGAGTTGAATCTGCTTTCTTATATTACATATATATACATATATATACGTATATATATATGTATATATATATATATATATATACACACACACACATATATTGTTGCACGTTGTCCAACAGATAATCTATTGTTATATTTTAGACTACGTTCTACTACAAATTCTATTTGTGTTTTGGTAAGTTATTTTTTTTTTTTTTTATATTTTTCAATAATTTCCAATTGATGCGTTTTAAATTAATTATTTTTGATATCTATGTAATACAAATTTTATTCATTATTTTGATATATAAAAAAATAAAAAAATTTATTTTATAAATTAGAAATTTATATGTAAAATCGATAACATTAAATTGTAAATATAAATATGAATTGTTATCTATCGACGAAGTAAATCTTTGTCAAATCATCGTATAATGTATATGTATAAATATATACATATGTATCGTAGATTAAAAAAAAAAAAACAAAAGAACACATTCCTTCATTCATGCGATGTTAATAAATATTTTGCGTATTTCGTTCATAAAGCTACCTTAAGTATTTTTTTTTTCTTTCTTTATATTTATGTATATTTAAATATGCTTGTATATACATTTTCTAAAAATCGAAATTCATTTATATCGTTCAATTTTGTAATCATTTCACATTTACTTTGCCTTGTTTTGTTTTATCTTTGTTTATTTTTTTTTCTTTTCTTTGACTTCTTATTTTTTTCCTTTTTATTTGCTTTTCTTTTTAAAAACGCAAACATATGTTTGACTTTTCATTGATTGAAAAAAGATTTTTCTATTTTAAAGATTTTTTTATTTTAAGGTTATGTGTGATAATTTTTTAATCTTGTCTATATACATATGTAATATTATTATATATAATACGCATACACATATTATTTTTGTGCATTATTTATAATACATATCTGTTACTGACAAAATAAACAAAAACGAATATAAAATAAATAACTGACTAACAAAATAATTTGTTAGGAATTAAATTAAAATAATTAAAAAAAAAGAAAAAATATATTATTTCATTTAATCGTAACAATTATCATTAGTTTACATAATTTATATAATTATACCAAAATTTATAAATGATTAACAAAAAATTTGATTATCTATTTTATTATCTTAAACTTTTATTAATTATTTTTATTAATTATAATAATATTAATTA